ATATACCATAGTGTAGAGACCGATTACAGCAAGTCGTATGGTAGTACCATAGTTTACAAGAAAGTATTGTATATAAATACAATGAAATCGCGGAAGAATAAATATTTCATTTGGAAATTATATACTTAAAAAGTAATTTATAGGTAATGAGTAAGGGAATGACAATTACTAAACAAATTTTACAACGTAAGTGCCTGCGGCAATTTGCATAAAGTACAGCAAACAGTGACTATTAAAGTATTGAAATGAAAAAAGATTTAAAAAAACTAATCAAGTGGTAATGTGCAATATAAAAGAATCATGTGATTGAAATTAGAAAACTGTCGATAATAATACTTTTTCAACTCAATGAATACATAACTAATGGGAATAAATTGAAATATAAATGACATGAGGTATTACTTTAAAGCTACGTTACTAGAACAATGTCGTAAAAATATTTTTGATGCGCTAAAATTACATTTTTAACAATAATCTTACTAACGATTTACGTAAAATACTGCATGTAATGTATTTTATTTCATTTCTCAATTAACAAATGAGAAGAAATCTAATTCATTGACTATGTTTACAATAGAATTATAGTATAAGTTGTATCATAAACATAGTAAAAGAAGTACAGGTTGTCTGAGTTTCAAACTGAAACTCAACAATAGTATTGGACTGTACGCAAAAGTCATACTCATTCTTTCAAATTAATAACCATTAAGTATTGCAGTTACGTATGCATAACTAGACGATATTTTGTCAACTCAATTGTCCGAAATACTGTTCTGCATCCATCTATTGTACCTGCTTTGAAACTCAAATTGCCTTAATGACAATTACTTTACATTGTAAATATAGACAATACAACATAAACTTAAGGAAATAGTAAATAAGATTCAATATAACATTTTGATGTGCTCATTTGGACGAAATAATTAGTAAGACATACAGAGATGTACTTTCTATAGAATCATACATATTGTATCGATTATATTTATGCGAGTAGTTGCATAAATTGTTCCTTCTTGTGCAGTGGCAGCTAAACTGACTAGTTCTATTATTCGTAATAATAGAAGCAGTACACAATGTTTGTGTTATAAACAATAAAGTTGATTTACAATAACTGATTTAAAGAGTT